CCAAACAGAGAAGATAATAAATGGATTTATATCTTTACATTCACAGTAAACAGCTTTATTTTTTTCTTTGGCAGAACCGGGGTTTGAACTCAGGTTCTCGCGCTTGCCAGGGAAGCACTTATTCCCCTGAGCCATCTCCCTGGCCCCTTACATGGATAGCTTTTAACTGATAAATATACTCTTTATAACTCATTGTTTGCAACTCATAAATAATAACCATTGAGTTCTGCAACTCGGAAATTATTTTTAGAGTTACAAATGCTATCTTCACTTGTGAGGAGTTTTAAGTAAAAGTCTGAATTCTGATACGTGATTATCACCCACTAATGTGAATTAATCTTTTTGGTAAAATGAACACAGAAGCTTGCTTGGAGCCAGTTAATGTTTATTCCAAGCCTCTGAGGAGCTGGCAGAGACTCATGCAAGAAAATGTGTCTGTTTTTCTCCATATGCCTACTGTTTGAATTAAATATACTAGAAATTGTCTTTATTTGGCCTGGATAATGATTTGCTTTTTTAGCAGCATTCTGAAACCTTTGCTCTTGCTTTACTTATTTTTAGGGGTTGGTTTATTTTTTGAGACAGGGTTTCACTATATAGGCCAGGCCCTGGACTTGTGGCGATCCTCCTGCCTCAGCCTCCCAAATGGTAAGATTCCAGGTATGCACCACCATGCACGGCTAGAGTATGATTTTTTTCCAAACTTATTTGAAGCCTTTGTCTTGGTAAGGAATTGATCAGTTCAAGATCAGTTAGGCAGCCATTTGGTTAAAGTGAGAAAGGAAAGGGCCGGTGAGGTAGCTCAGTGGACTAAGTGCCTGCTTAGGCAAGCGCAGGGACTGGGGTTCGATCCCTGGAACCACATACGCTGAGACTGGATGTGGTGGCGCACACTTGTAATCCCAGTGCTGTGGAGGCTGAAAACAGGAGGAACACTTTGAGTCTGATCTGTGTAGCAAGACACTGTATTAAATACATGAAAAAAGAATAATCTGATTTTCAGTGATGACTACCAATCCAAAGCAGGTTACATACACACACATTTTATCTCAGGCCGGGTGTGGGGGTGCACACCTGTCATCCTAGCACTTGGGAGGCTGAGGCAGGAGGATGAGTGTGCGTGCAAGGCCAGAACAGGCTGAGCGACCTTGGGAGATCCTGTGTCACTCTTGCTACTGTCCCAGATAAATAAAAAATAAAATAAAATTCAGGTTAGCACAGTGTTCTAGCTACCAACGCCCCAGCATCTACCCCACTGTGGCTGGCTCAGCTGCACTGCCGGCCCCAGGGCAGCTGCTTCCGGCTGCTGACCCACACTCCACGGGTGGTGAAGAGCTGGGGTCAGAGACGCAGAGGCGTTTCCGCCTTTCTGTGGAGGGCAGGGGAGAGCCAGGGGCAGCGGACCACAGCAGGCAGCACCAAGCTCTTGGGTTTCACACGCTGAGGGTTCGGTTCCTGCTGTGGATGCGGCGCTGCTCCCTTAACTCTGGGAAGAACTGTGTGTTGAATGGGATGTGGGTACCGATTTCACAACTGGCCGCAAGATAAAATGCAAATGTTTACCTTCCAGTTCCTGGAACACGGTAAGACTCAATGGATAATGACTGTCACCACGATCCTTCAGATCCAGAGGTCTGACATCTTTTTTTTTTGACACAGGATCCTCCTGTATAGTTCAGGCTGGATATGAACTCACTACATAGCCCAGGCTGGCTTCGAACTCAGTGACCTTACTGTCTCAGCCTCCCAAGTGCTGGATGACAAGCACGCACCACCAGGCCTGGCACAGAGGTCTGATTTCTGACTAGAAGGTTCCATGTAAGGTCATCATCCATAGTACTAGGCTAATTTTCTTTTGTTTCCCTTTTGCCTTTCTTTATCCTTCCTTCTTCCCTAAAAATTCCTTTAGCTTACAACTTTTCATGGCAGAAAACAGAAATAAAAGGTTAGACTCTCTGTCTTCATTAAAAATACTCATTTCAAGGAAGCGCTCTAGAAGTGATCAATGCAGAATTGATTTTAAAGAAGTTTTAACTGAGAAGCTCCCATCGTGACTGGGAAGCACCTGGAAGCTCCAGTGCCCAACACCTTCCCAGGGAGTCAGGGCAGAGGCTGGCCTGACTCAGCGTTGCCCTGGCAACAGGAGGGCACGAGAGCCCTGCATCTGAGGAGCCCCCCCCCCACCTCCGAGTGCTCTCCCCTCGACGCCTGGCTGCTTCACAGCCACGATTCTGAAGGACAGGGAAGGTGCAGACAGCCTCTGCCTCATCTGCCCTGTGGCTGAACACCCCAAGCTGTCAGGAGGAGGAAGCCAGAAAGCCACCGGATCCCAAATGCTGCCAAAGTGGTGATGGCTTCCTAGTTCTTTGCCTTTCTGCACGGAGCCCAGCGCAATGCACTGCACACAGTGGGGCCTAATAAATGCAGCGTGTGTCTGTCCAGGCCGTGACCACACGAGCACCGCGTGCCCCTGCTGAGAGAGCCACCTCAGGTGAGCAGCCACGAGCCAGCTCTTGTCCTCCGAATGTCTGCAGCTGGCCTGTGGCAGAGCTAGCCAGGTGCAGTGGCGTGCGCCTGTAATCCCAACACTTGGGAAGCTGAGGCAGGGGAGGACCACTGTGAGCTCCAAGCCAGTCTGAACTACACAGTGAGATTCTGTCTCAAAACAGCAGCAGCAACAACAAAAACAAATGAAACCAAGCAAAACAGAGATAACCAGTCCTCTGGGGACAATGGCCACTGTCAACCTAGGAGTTTAAAAGTCTGACTTTTTAGTGAAAATTAAAGACACTCAAGAAGTCGCTGTGGGGCTAGGGAGATAGCTCAGTGGTCTAAGTACCTCCCTGGCAAGTGAGTTTGATCTCTGGTACCGAATGCCCTGTTGGCCCCCAAACTGGGTGTGGCAGCGTACGCCTGTAATCTCAGCAGCAGGGAGGGTGCATAGTAAGACCCTGTATCAAAGAGAACCAGAAAACTCAGAGAGGTGAGCTCCTACCTGCAGCACACTCTAGGGTGGGCATGCAGGTAGTGGTCACCTCCTGCCCCTTAGACATCAGGATAAGGGTGGAGTTGCCTGTTGAGTTTGCTTTGAACTTGGTCACACGGCAACAATTTTTCTGCTCCTGCCCATTGACGAAATTTCCTTCGTAGAGATCCCTGCTTGTGGGACACACTGAACTTGTTTTCCCTGCAATAAATCACCAACACCATAAATTGACAATAAAAGGGGCCAACTTGTGAGGTCTTAGCACTAGCCAGTGTTTGATATGCGTTCTTCAGAACAGGACGCTGTTGTTGACTGACTGATGATTGACCGAGACAGGGTCTCATGACACAGGCCAGGCTGGCACTAAACTCAGGAAGACCAGGTCGGAGCCAAGGATGACTAGAAGTGCAGAGACCCCGGCAGCCCGGCTCTGTAGCAGAAACTCCATTTTGTGATTTAATGCTTTTGAAAACCAGATTTCCTAGGAAAGGTTTGGCCCCTGAGCCTCATTTCTCTCCACCACCTCGCAGAGCACCTGAAGTCACCCTGAATCTCCCCCCATGCCAGAGGCCTTGGGCCCAGCGGAGGCAGCCGAGGGAGCAGCACAGTGCTCCGCCAGTTGTATGCGAACACCTCTGCTAGCCTCTCCCAGGTTCCGAGGAGCCATTTCCTCGGCAGCACCTTCAACTTCTACTGAGCACTTCTGCGGTCTGGGACCTGTCCAGGGACTAGACCTTCCATGCCTGCTGTCTGACAGCAGTTTCTGTCCCCACCAACTGATCACCCCCGCATCAGGTCTCTCTGCTGCTCAAGTTTCTCATACAAGCAGCAGCTCCAGCCCCAAAGCCCCTCCGCACCCCGTCACCCCAAGCTCACACCCAGACCTTTTCCCACACAGGCCCTTCCCCAGCTGAGCGCTGCATTGCTCACTGCTCCTAAGCACCCTTGGCAGTGCCCCACCACCACACTGCTTATAAGGATCTGCACACCTGATGCATCTTCCCGGGCAGAAGTCTCATCCAGCTGGCCCAGAGGAGGTGGGGCCTCCCCATCCCTGCAGTCCACCTGCCCCCTCAGGGTTACTGTATGCTACTGTGATTCCTCCTCCTGTCTCTGTCCAGGCTCTGGCTGCCAACCCTGATACGCTGTCACTGTGTAAGAGATCTGCACTGTACAGAAATACACGCTTTCAGCGAATAAAGCGCTGCCTTCTCCCCCCAGGTCCCTGGGACCCCCTTACATGCTGGCACAACCCCACGTGCCCCACACCACCAGGGAGCGCTCCTCTGCAGCCAGGGCCTGCTTTCTGCCCAGGCCCAGCTGCCCCCGCGGCTGGGCATCTGTTGGTCTCCACTTGTCCCTTAGGGCACCAGAGCCCTCTGGTTCCGCCAAGCCCAGCAGCAGCAGCAGAGCGAGCAACGCCCAGCGCCTGCCCTTCTGTGCATAAGGAAGGACGCAGGACACTCACACACCCAGCAGCAGCACCGTGCAGTGCCCTCAGCACATCCAGCGTTGGGTGCAATGTTCAAAACCAAAAACACCTACTGCTGCCTTTACGGCCACCCCAAAAGTTGGTGCCAGGGCTCCTGTACCTTAATCTGCATTCTCCTCATACTGCCACCACTCATCACCACTGGCTGCACGAAAGTTGGGCTCAGTGGGGAGCACCCAACTTTTGCCACAGGATCTTTTCACATCACCCCAAACCTGTGGTCTCATTCTCTGACCATCTAATCAAGCGCGTCCTGTTAGCCCTGCACACCCGGCTTCCAGCAGGAACCACAGCACAGGCCAGCAGGTGGCTGGAGCTTCTGCCTTTCCTGGACCTGTAAGGACTTCAGGCTGCTCAGTGCCAGCTCTGCCTCTGATCTGAGTCAGCAGCACCTGCGGGGACGTCACTGGGCACTCATCCCTGGGGTCATCTTCTCAGCCCCTCCCCTGCAAAAGCAGACAAAATGGCAAACAAGAAACGCTCATCTTTTAAAAATTACTCTATTATTATCAAATAGAACCACAGTATCCAAAAGATAATTATAAAGTCTATCCAACTAAACGGCCCTGTACCGCCCATCCGAGTGGCCGCGGCCAAATCACTCCCCCCGCGCCAATTGGTTTCATCCATTTTATTGTCAAGAAAATGAACAGCCTGAAGGGGTCCCCAGGCCCGCGCTCCCCACTGGGGTCCCGGGGAAACAGGCAGCAGGTGACCTGGTCTCATGACCCGCGTCCTAGGGCGGAGGGGCAGGAGGGGAAAGGGGCTCACAGCAGAGGGGCGCAGGCAGCGCACATGGGGCGCGGGGCCCGGGCAGGTGTCCCAGGGCATGGCCGCGCCCCTGGCCAGGCTCACTCGCCCGTGTGGGTCCGCAGGTGGTACTTGAGCGACTGCTTGTAGCGGAAGCACTTGGCGCAGTGCGTGCAGGGGTAGGGCCGCTCGCCCGTGTGCGCGCGCTGGTGCTCCAGCAGGTGGTGCTTCTGCGTGAAGCGCTTGCCGCACTCGGCGCAGTGGTAGGGCCGCTCGCCCGTGTGGATGCGCCGGTGCTCCAGCAGGTGGTGCTTGCGGATGAAGCTCTTGCCGCACTCGGGGCAGGCGTGGGGCCGCTCGCGCGAGTGCACGCGGCAGTGGTTGGTGAGCTTGGACTTCTCGCTGAAGCTCTTCTCGCACTCGGGGCACTTGAAGGGCCGCTCGCCCGTGTGAGTCCGCTGGTGGCGCAGCAGGTGCGACGGGCGGCTGAAGCTCTTGCCGCACAGGCTGCAGATGAAGGAGACCTCGTGCTTGCCAGCATGCACGCGCTGGTGGATCACCAGGCTGATGTGCAGGCGGAAGCTCTTCTTGCACTCTGGGCATGTGTAGGGCCGCTCGCCCGTGTGCGTGATCTGGTGCTTTGTCAGGCTGGACTTGTGGCTGAAGCTGCTGTCGCACTCCGGGCACTTGTAGGGCTTGGGGCCACCGCCACCGCTGCCCGAGCTGGGCGACTTGGGAAGCGGCTTGAGCGCGTGCTTGGGGGCGAAGGCGGGGCCGCGCTCGGGCGAGTAGCTGCCGCCGCGCACGCGGTGGATGCGCTGGTGCAGCGTGAGCTGCTGCTTGTGCCGGAAGCTGATTTCGCACTCGGCGCACTCGTACGGCCCCTCCTTGATGTGGTTCCGCTGGTGGATGACGAGGTTGATCTTCAATCGGAAGCTCTTGCCGCACTCCATGCACGTGAAGGGCCGTTCGCCGCGCCGGTTTCGCTGTTGCTGGCTGGAGGACCCGCGGTTCTCGCCCAGGTGCCGCTCGCCGTGCGAGTGCCCATGGCCGTGCGCATGCCCGTGCCCGTGTATGTGCGAGTGCGACGGGGGCGCCAGCCTCTTCACTGCAGGGTTCCCCAGCTGCAGCGGCGGGGGGCTCTCCTCACCCTCTGGGGACATCTCCCCAGGCAGTGCTGCTGGGTACATGCCGGCATCATATCGCCCTGACAGCGGCCCGAGGGACTGCAGGTGCTGGGGCAGCTCGTCGTCCTCGTCCTCGTCCTCGTCCTCTTCCTCCTGCTCTTCGGTCTTGATCACGATGCCCTCTGCGCCAAGGACAGAGACGGAAGAGTTAGCTGGTGCTGGTGCCTGGGCTAGCACAGCAGAGCAGCCTGGGTCTGTACTCACAGGCGCATGCGCGCTCGCCAGAGCTCCCCGAAACGTCACTCGCCGCACCCCTCAGCCCTCACACTCATGTGCTGGAAGTGTGACCCAGGCTGCTCATGGCACCTGCTCCAGTAGGGAGCCCAGAGCCAAGCAGGCTAGCATCCTGGGAGGAGGCCATGGGCTATGGCTGGTAGTGAAGGCGGGTCACAGAGGAGCCCGGGGGCCACCTAGGCCCAGCTTTGCCTGAAGCTATTAGGCTCATGTGCCTCACAAACACCCTCTTTTCACAAACGCTCCTGGGGCGCTTGCTGGCTGTATCTAAGGGTCTCCACCCAACCACCTTTGCCCTTCTTAGGATGCTCGCTGAGCTCTGCTCCAACAGACCCACTCCCTCTCTGAACCCCAGGGACCCCCCCCCCC